TTTGAAGGGGTGTTTCCTCACAGTCCTGGCAACAAGTCTGAAATTCTTTTAGCGAGAAGCACCTGCCAGAAAAACCAGTGCCGTTAGTGACAAAAATATGCAGGGAGCTATGCAAAAAACGCATCTTCGCACGGGCAGCCCACGCATTGGCCATTTATTTAAGCCCTTGTTTAAGTAAGGAAGATTCTCCTGAAATTTTCAGCCCCTCTAACTTTTCTGGCTACCAAGATAATGATTTTCCTCGCCAAAACATTGAAAATTTGCGAAGTTGTACGTAGGCAGGGATACCACGCTAAAATTTCAGCTTTCTAGCTTTTGCACTTCACAAGATAACAGTCCCCTACCAAAACTTTCACATCGCCATCAAATTTCAGATTCCCAGCTTTCGAGGTTCCCGGGATAACAATTTTCCCCGTCGAAACTTTCATGGGCCGTTGTGATACCTAGGCGCGCCGGAACGCCGGATCTGAATTTTGTAAGATCGTACGTGGGCAATGGGCCATTACCCTAAAACCCCGGCTTCCTAGACTTCGTGGTCCCCGAAATAATAATTTACCCGCCACAATTTTCAGGGGGGCTGTAGATGATACGCAAGAGATCAGGAATGCCAAATTTAAATTTGCAAGGTCGCAGATGAGCAGAGGGACATTACTCCAAAATTTCAGCTTCCTAGATTCAGTGGTTCCCGAGATCATAATTTCCCCGCTAACTTTTTACGCGGCCGTGCGTGTTACCCGCGGGCACAGGAAAACTGAATTTAAATTTTCTGGATCGTACTCGGGTAGGGGACATGACCAAAAAATTTCAGCTTTCTAACTTCCGTGGTTCCTATGATAATTTTACCTGCCAAAACTTCTACAGGGCCGTACTTGTTACCCGCGGGTACGGGGAGGTTGAATTTAAATTTGCGGAGTCACACGTGAGTAGGGAACATTCCTCCAAAATTTCAGCCATCTAGCTTTTGTAGTTCCCAAGTTGAAAGTTGCGGATAAGTTGCTGCGGTCACACACACAAACAACGCCATGACAATATGCATTTTGCACTACTGTTACATAGCACAAAACACATAACAAGTAATATTCAATTTAGGATTGAAGGGCCTGTCACAGTTGCATTTGGTATGGGAAGCATCCCAGTAACATCTCAAATATGGAATTCCCATATCGGCGGTCCGAAAGATCTTGATATTTTTGGCAAATAATGAATCAGTGGATATAAATACTCTTTTTCAGCGCTCGTTATGTAGAAAACTTGACATAAATTTTATTTATAAAAATACAAAAATAATACCTGCCCAGGTGCGCGAAAAGAATTGATAAACGATACAGCCATCTCACTCATCA